AATTACAGCTCAGTGAAACTGATTTTCAAAAAGCCAGATAGGCTCTCTGTAGGATTTAAACTGAAAACAGAGAATAGAATGCTTTTAGTTAACAAAAGGAGAAGAGAGTAAGTAGGCGTCAGAGCAGCCAGCCACTAAGTGGCTTCAGACCTGCTGGCACTCTGTTCTACACCACACAGAGCAGGGCCATAAATCTTCCTTTACTTTCGATGGTGCCTTGAGAGAACCTCTCTTTCTTTCTTTCTTTTTTTTTTTTCCCCTTTCCTTTTTTAACTGAAGGGAGTATTATATCAGAAAAACTAAAGAGAGACAGAGTCTTTGTCTCTTTTAACCAAAAATGTTACTAACAAAACAACTGGCTACTTACAAAGTTTCTTAAGCTCTATGTTGGTTCCTCCAAAAGTCCCTGGCGTACAGTAAAAGCTAAGAACATACTTGTTGGAAGTATAAATGAAGCAGAGGCAATAATGTTATCAGTCAGATGCTTTGTTGATCTGAATTAAAGTTTTACACAAAAACGTTATTGTCTAGATCATTAAAAACTAATTTTTGTTTTATTTGCAGGAGGGTGTGTGTACTCACCAGAGAGAAAGTGAGAAAGCACCCCCTGGGGTTTGGCCAGGTCCTAATTCCTTCTCCTCCATCTCCTTCAGGATGTGGGGTGCATGTACACACACACATGCACACGCACACACACACACGTACATACACACGTCCATCCATGTTTTTCACTGGGTCTGGAACTTGAACCGCACAGTTGATCATGTGTGATCCAGCTGCCTTAAGCACGATGCCACTGGCTAGCTCAAAAACTTAATTTTAAAATTTTTTTTTGTAAATATTGCAACTCTTTTACAAAATGTGGTAATACACAATAAAAAACACATCTAGAAAACACAGCAGTATGACAACACAAGTGTAAAAGCACCACAGGAGATGAGCCACCTATTTGGAAAGCATTTAACAATTTACAGTCACATTAACAGAAACTACCTTTGCTAACGGATACATAACTTCTTTTTGTCTGATTTTTGATAGAACTCAGTGAAAAATAACAGAGAAAACAGCAGGCGCAGACACAGCTAGAATGTGAGTGGGGCTGGAGGCAGCGAGGACCACACACCATGAAATGTAAACAGAAGGGAAAAAAAAAAAGTCAGATGCCAGACAGGAAGAGAAGAACCAGGAGAGCAGTCTTCACACACAGAGGTAGCTGTAACTAAGGTTGAAATAAGAAATCAAACAGGTTGTAAAGAAAAAGCAAAAATTAGAGTAATCAATTATTCCTTAACATGCACAAGCATGCTGCAGAACAGGTCAGTTTAATTTCTCAGGGTTCATTTTTGAACTGTGCTCAACCTTATGGAATCTTGACTTTAGTGATTAGTGATTTATGTTGGGGTAAGCCACTTCCCTTCAAAAGAAGCGAGGACCACACACCATGAAATGTAAACAGAAGGGAAAAAAAAAAAAGTCAGATGCCAGACAGGAAGAGAAGAACCAGGAGAGCAGTCTTCACACACAGAGGTAGCTGTAACTAAGGTTGAAATAAGAAATCAAACAGGTTGTAAAGAAAAAGCAAAAATTAGAGTAATCAATTATTCCTTAACATGCACAAGCATGCTGCAGAACAGGTCAGTTTAATTTCTCAGGGTTCATTTTTGAACTGTGCTCAACCTTATGGAATCTTGACTTTAGTGATTAGTGATTTATGTTGGGGTAAGCCACTTCCCTTCAAAAGAAAATTTTTTTTCTCAATTAGATTAGGTCTATTGCCACTAATTAAAACAGTCAATATATCATCTCTCAGCAGCATCTGACATTCGTAAACAACCAGGTTTCATTGGCATGGTGGAAGTAGCTTAATGGAGTCAGAAGAGCGTTAGAAGAGAAAGCATGCTGTTCTGTGCATGTATAACCATTTGTTTACAGCTACACGGTCAAGAAAGTATCTCCCAAGATTCTGTAATGCTCACAGACTTACTTGGATTTTGGCATTTATTCACAAACAACTCCTTATTATATTATGGGATGGAGCAAAGTTTATAAAACCACACCTGGACCAGTCCTATGGCCTACTGGTTAAGGGAGCTGGATCCCAAATGGCCAACTGTGGTTTGAACACTGGCACACAGTGCCTTAAAAGACACGTCGGAAATACGTGCATGCACGCCCCAAGCCCAGCAAGAGGGACAAATGAAGGAGCAGGGATGGCAACGTGACCTCACCCCACTGAGAGCTGCCTTCTCCTCCCACCCCTTCTCTCCATCTCTGTCTCTGAGGGTGCACAGGCACCCTCTGGCAATTAATAAAACCCCACAATAATTGCTTCCTAAAGTAAGTAACAAACACGTGCACATGCAATCTAGCCAGTTTCTTCCTTATAATACCTAGATGAAGGCTATATAATCGTCAGTATACTGAAATTACTTATTTGGTACGCCCACTAATACACTGGACATTAGATTCAGCAATCATAAGGGTTACAAAATTAGAATAAAAAGTTTAAAACATTGCTCTACAATTCAAACATCTACCTAAATTCATAAAACTGGATTATGATAACAAAAGCAAGCCCATTCTAAATATGTAAAAATCACACCAGAAGTCAAACAGACAATAGAACACGTACTTTTAAAAAACCTCCCTCTCTCGTTCTCTTTTTTCAGTTTACCAAACAGAGAGAGGGAGAAAGCACTCCCAGTGGGTGTGGTCACCACAGTACTCTCTGCACACACGTGCACCCAGAGTGTTTTTCAAGTTGCTGAAGTACCCTGTCAGCCATATAAGATCTGGCTCCCTTAACCACCAGGCCATGGGGCCAGCCCAGTACTTTTAACATTTCTCTTTTTTTTTTGAGAGAGAGATTTTTTCACTCTAGGGCGCATGCGCTCGCCAGACAGACAGAGAGAGACATAGAGACAGAAAGCGAAAAATCCCCCAGGGGGGATGGTCACGCCGCATTCCCTTCTCCTCCATTCTCCTCTCGGGATCTTGGGCACACACGCACATGCGCCTGGCGTGAGTTTTAAGCCACCAGGTCTGAGACACGAACCGCGGTTGACTACGTGGGAGTCCAGAGACATAGCCATTACGCTAACTGCTGGTTCCCAGTACTTTTAACATTTCTATTATGTGGTCCAGTATAAGGATATATTAAAACTGGAAGAAAAATAATCCATTCGCTTATTCAATGAACAAATGCCTACTACACATAAGCCATTATGTTAGATTTTATAATGGACAAAAATGTAATATAAAAAAATAATTCCTGGGGCCAAAGGGTGGCATGGTGGTTGAGGTGCTGGACTCCCACAGGGCTGACCATGGTCTGGTGGCTTCAGGCTCATGCCAGGTGTGTGTGCATACATGTCTAGGGTCCCAGGAGGAGAAAAGAGGACAGGGGATTGTGGCATGGCGATCCCCCGGGGGGTGATTTCTCATCCCCACCCCACCTCTGGTAAGCCCTCATGCTCTATGGCAGAAACCATTGGGAAAAAAAAATAATAATAACTTGTCCTTGAGAATCTTGAAATTCAGGGGCTGGCAGGTGGCATGGTAGTTAAGGATACTGGACTCCCACATGGCCAACTGCAGTTCGAGTACCGAACCTGGCGGCTTGCTTTCTCACTTTCCCTGTCTCTCACTCTGTCCCTCTCTGGTCAAATTTAAATAAATAAATAAATAAAGTTAGATAATTCTTTAAAAAACTAATCTTGAAATTCAAGGGGAAGGGAAGTTATATACATAATACAAAATAGCAAAATAACATATGCGCACCGTACAGCAGTATATGGTAAGTGCCCTCACAGTGAGAGAATCTGAACAAGAACTCACAGGAAGAACCTCTAGCACGTGACCAGTGAATGGTTCATTATTGGAAATTATGTGAGTGGATGATAAAGGGAAAGGAAGGTGGGAACACAATGAGATTCCATGCTGATGAAATCTAACATATAAAGGAAGGAAGTGAGAAACAGTAAAAACAAAAGCAGACCATTCCTGAGGACTGAGAAGCACAGCCCAAAGCTCAAGATTGCTAGGACATCAATTTGTATCTTGAAAATAAAAAATTGCTGTTCTATACCATGATGTATCTGTGCTTAGGTTAATATAAAACTACAATTTTGGCAGCAGATCAGCCATGACTAGCCCGTGTAACTCCCAGAAGAACCCCAGGAAGCAGCAGAAGGGAAGAATGAAGGGAACCACAGGTGGGAGATACGGCTGAAGGAGAAGTTTGTTCAGGGAGCAGAATAGAGGGTCTTCCTGCAGCCAAGCTACAGTGCTTAAAACCTTATTCAGAGGACAGCGAGAAAACGAAACTTACTTTTTAAACTGAAGAATGACATTTATTCTTATTCAGCAAGATCAGTCAGGCAGGGACACAGAAGACAGATTTATTTATCCAATAAGTATTTTTAGGCATCTATTATGTGTCAGATACTGATCTAGCTGCTGCAGAGCTGAAAAAAGGAGGCAAGAATCCCAGCCCTTATAAAGCCTGCACTCCGGTCTGGGGGCAAACAACAAGGAAGTCGAAAGATGCAATGAGACCAGTGGGAAGAGGACACAGACGGGAGCAGTCACTCAGGAACAAGAGAATCCCACTATGACCCATGACTGCAAAGAGGGTAAAAGTATTAAGAGAAATAAAGTCAGGAGAACGGTTCTGTACAGGGAGAAGATTGCGGGGCGGGTCATCACAGGCTCAGAGATGCCCACTGACCTACCAGACAGCGGTCCGTGCCTCCAGCAGGGCAGGCCTAGAGATACAGCCTCAGTGACTGCCTGCAGATAGGCATGGCGGAAATCACCAGAGGAGAAAAGGAGAAAAACAGAGGGCTGTGGGCAAAAGGCAAAAACGCAAAATCTCCACGAGGGGGAGAAAAAATAAAGAAAGAAGCTAAGTGAAATATAAGAAACACGTAGGTAATGAAGGGTAAAGAGGGAAAAAGCCTTGGCAAAAGAGAGGTGTGTGTGCATTTTCCTCTCCTTACCTGTTCGTTCTTCCTCTGAACCCACTCCTTGTGCTTTTCTTCAGCAATTAGCTTTCTTTTTTCACGTTCTTCCATTTCTTTTCTTTTTTCTAGTTGTTGATTGAATTCCTGTGGATGTTATTTAAACAAAGGGCAACATTTAATAGAAGTACACAAATCACATATTTTAAAAAGGCTGAGGTTAACCAAATTAAGCAAGAATACAGTTTCCTTTTCTGAGCATATACCACTAGTGACAATAACTGACTTAAGTAACTAGTCTATGATGAAAGAAAGCATTGGTAAAAGTATAAGTCACTTTTTAGAAATGCAAATAATTGCTTGGCAGCCAAACACTAGTTTCTTAGACTAAACTTGAGCTAAATTACTCTCATTGAAATCAACTTTCCCACACATAAATTTTGGCATCACTATAAGCTATTGGCAGCATCTCAAGAGAATTGAAACTTCTTTTACAGTTACAAAAAGCTTCTAGGTTCTTGATGAAGATAAAGAATAGGAATTAAATAATCCCTAAATTAAAATTTTAATTCAAAGTTAAACCAATGAAGACATGTAAAGAAGCCATTCAATTTTCCTTACAGAAAATAAAGAATCTAGAGTTTCCTTCACTGCTTTTATGGCTGGGGGGGGGGGGGACAAAACCACATTCATATCCCAGATTATTTAACTGCTTTGCTGTCACTCGAATCTACAGGTTGGGGCATTTCCTCAGGAGAAAGAATGTGAAAGGTATGGCCAAATAAAACTACAAGTTGAATGCCACCACTCTGTCACTCATCAGTGAAATTACTGCATTAGTTGAGAATGCTGTTCAAACTAGACTTCTCTAGGCCTCCATAACCATAATTACTGGTTACTTCTCTCCTTTCTCCTTAGATACTATTCATCAGATATTTTTACTTATCTTTCATTGCTCCCCACTCCTCTCCCTTTTTCAAAAACCTGCCTACCTGGACACAGCGCTAGTTGGAAGGACAATTTTCCAAATCTCAGACCAATTCCCAGGTCTTAAATGAATAAAATACACCAAGAACATATCTTTTGCACTTTAGAACAACTCACGGCAAGATACCTGTGGTCTTCCTTCCTAAATTTCCACTGCATAAAAGAACAGCTACCCTTACTTAGGAGGTCTTTCATCTTTAACACAATACCCCTAAAAGCAAACATCCATCTTAGTTTTAAGGATTCTTCACTACTTCTGTAGCTATTATTTCTTTTTCTTCTTCTTTTCCTTTCCTGTTATATTTTGCTAGAGGATGTGTGTGCTCATCACGGAGTCAAACAGACTAAGTAAAAACGCCCATCATGATCTTAAATCTGAGGTGTGTCCTGGCACGTTCAGGGACCAAGACGACTAGTTAGGCTCTAAACCTCATCTCCTAGACCCCCGAAAACATTCAGACAAGGTAGGGAGACACTTCCTCTCTCTCTCTGTCTCTCTCTCTCTAATTTTATTTTTTTTAATTTCAAAACCGCTTCTTACCTCAGGCCTTTTCTTTCTCTTGCTAATTTCAGAAGCTGTTTTAAATGTGAGGTGTATCCTGGAGCAGCTGTTCATTTTTTACCTTTAAATTTTTTTTCTCTCTCTTTTGGTTGTTTTTATCTAATTTTTTTTTTCTTTCCCTTTTCTTTTTTTTTTTTTCTCCTAACCTTACTTTCCTACTCTGCTCTTCAGTCTCCACACTGAGTGTCTAGACAGGCCTAGCTGCACAGTAGCAAAGCATCTGAATACTTGTAGGGTCACTGAAATCCTCAATGCTTATTGAACCTCCTGTTTTAAAGAAGAAACTTCTTTTTATAAGTCTGAACTCATAAACTCTTTCTGTGGATACCACGTTGCAAAACACAGCAGAGGAGAGATTTTGTCACAAAATGACCAGAAACCACTGCAGAGGCACAAGAAATATGAAAAACCAAGAAAATATCTCTCGCGTAAGTGAAAAGAACAGTCCTTCATCATCCACAGACAGTACAGAGAACTCATGGAAATGTCTGACAGAGATTTCAGAATACTCAAAATGACAAAAATAAATGAGATGCAAGAGCCTAAAGACAACAAACTCCAGAAAAAGCAGGAGAGAAGAATCAATGAGTTCCAGGAGATGAGGAAGTTCTTGCATGATCTGAAAGAGGAAATACAAACCATAAAAAAAGAATCGAATGGAGCTATCAGCAATGAAGGCTGCAATACAGGAAATCAAAACCCCCCTTAAAAGTATTAAAAGCAGATCAGATCATGCAGAAGACAGAATCTCAAGATGTTGAAGGCAAAACTTCTTAGAAAAAATAACCAAAAAAACTGAGAAACTAACCAGAAAAAATGAGAATACTATACGAGAAATACTAGATACCATTAAGCGCCCAAACATTCAGATAATTGGAATCCCAGAAGGTGAGGAAACTAATAAAGGCATTGATCATCTATTCCATGAAATCCTGGAAGAAAACATTCCAAATCTAGAGAGGCATTCAAATTTCTATTCAGACCCAAGAAATACAAAGGACCCCTAATAGAATCAACCCAAGAAGATCTTCTCCAAGGCACATGATAGCCAGACTGACCAAATCCACAAAGACAAGATACTAAAACTGGCAAGAAAGAAATGTCAGGTTACTTATAAAAGTTATCCCACCAGGCTCATCTGACACCTCTCATCAGAAACAATGCAAGCAAGGAAAGAATGGGAAAATATAGTCAAAGTGTTAAGTGAAAAACAGTTTTAATCAAGAATACTATATCCAGCAAGATTATCCTTCATATAGGAAGAAAAGATAAAAACATTCTCAGATAAACAAAACCTGAAAGAATTTACCTATACCACAGCAACTCTTCAATAAGTTTTGAAAGGAGGGACAAGCAGTTAGCATAATGGCTATGTTGCTGGACTCCCACGTAGTCGGCCATGGTTCGAGTCCTGGACCCGGTGGCTTAAACTCACGCTGGGCACATGTGCATGCATGCCCAAGATCCTGAGAGGAGAATGGAGGAAAAGGGATTGTGGTGTAGCCATCCCCCCGGGGGGTGATTTCTCGCTTTCTGTCTCTCTGTCTCTCTCTGTCTTTCTGGTGAGTGCACGTACCCTACAGCAACTCCAAAAACAGAAAGAAAAAAAAAAGTTGTTTATTTACTCATTTATTTTTTTCTTTTTCTTTTTTTTTGAGAGGTTTTTGCTATAGGGCGCGTGCGATCGCCAGACAGACAGAGAGAGACAGAGAGACAGAAAGCGAGAAATCACCCCCCGGGGGGATGGCTACACCACAATCCCTTTTCCTCCATTCTCCTCTCAGAATCTTGGGCACGCACGCACACGAGCCCGGCATGAGTTTAAGTCACCGGGTCCAGGACTCGAACCGCGTTCAACTACGTGGGAGTCCAGCAACACAACCATTACACCAACTGCTGGCCGAAAAAAAAAAGTTTTGAAAGGAATGCTTTACCAGGAAAACTAAAAACACACATACAGAAATAAGAGAACAAAAAGCAACCAAGAAAATGAACTGAATGTTAGGCACAATATCAGTAATAACGTTGAATGTTAACCTCCAGGATTTAAAAGGAAATATAGGATCACAGTAACACTGCAAATTCAACAGAAGAAAAATTAATTACATAAGACTGAACTGGTGAAATTTTATGACTTTTGAGTAAAACATTACTGTCTTTTTCTTTACTGGGCTTTGTTTCCACAATTTAAAGATTTTGCTTTCTTTGAGCTGTTGATAGGTTTAGCAATTTGTTAAGATGTTTTTTCTTCTTGTTTGTTTCTTTAAATGTAATCATAAACTTTTCTCCCTTCCTGACCCTTCTGGAATTGAAAAATATTTGGGAGTATTCTTATTTTGTGGTGGAAGGGTTATTTGCATAAGTTCAATAATATCTGTTGCCTTGAATCAGAAACTGGAAATATTCATTATTGAACAGGGCTTTGACTGGAATGTCATATCTAAAATTAAACCAGAAAAGTATGGAACTAAGGTGGATCTCATATAAGTCAAAAGAAGCTCTTGGAAAGATGGTCTGGCATCATAAATAGTTTCTGCCTGGCAGAGAAGATTACAGAAGCTATATGAAATAATTTGTACCATAAAATAATCTGGACCTTTCCTGTCCAGCATTATAGTCAGTAGAGGTTGCAAAAGAGCAGCCACAACCAGAGGACTATTCTGAGGTAGACTCTGAAGGAAGAAGAAGAGACTGATCTTTGTTAGCACGTAATACTTGGTAGGCAGGGCTGAATTGAGAAGGTTTATGTATAAATTGTGTGCTGGGTATATGCTTGTCAATGGTTTGAGTAGTTGACATGTAAACATTTTCTCAAAAAATTTTAAAACCATACTGTCTCTGTTACAGAGTCACAAACAAAATTATAACAAACTTTCTTTAAAATTCTTTTTTTTGAAATTCTGAAAGTTTTAAAATTAACTGTCAAGAACTATGGAGTTTGAGCAATTTTTTTTTTTGATACATAAAGTAAACGTTTGTGGGAAAATGTAAAAACAAAGAAATAAATGATTAGAAAAGAAAGAAAGAAAATGGCCCTCATGGGGCGTAGTCACACTGCAATCCCTTCTCCTCTATTTCTCCCTCCTTTTCAAATTTTGGGTATGCATGTGCAACGTGCCCAGCATGTTTTTCAAGCTATCAGGACGGGAACTCAAACTACGCAGTCAGCCATATGGGATCCAGACTCCTTAACCACCAGGCCACAGCTGGCCCTGTTATTCTTGATTACTAATTCAGTACACTTTTATGGAGCACCTATTAGAGAGCTAGTGAGAACTGAGTAACAAAGACACGATCCCAGAAGCCTACTCTAATCTGATACTCTGTACACCAAAGAATGAAGTCCTACATTGTGGGTTACTGTGCATACTAAGAATTCAGATAAGGGAAGATGAAGAATAGAGAATAACAGGGTAGTCAGAAATAAGAGCCATAAGAGGAAGTGAGGAGATGCTTGAAAAGGAGGGAGAGAGGGCAGGTGGAGGGAGGTCGGATTCGAGCATGGACTAACTAGATGGAAAGGCCTCTGAGACAAGCAAAGTAAATACAATCTATGAAGCAAGACAACATGGCAGGAGGGATCACTGAAAACTCTTAA